CAACAAATACACCACACAAATACACACACACACACACACACACACACCCACACCACACACACACACAAAAGACGCTGCCGCGCGTTGCCGTACTCGAATTAGCACACTTTTGCAAAAACGAAACTCGCAAAACAAACACCCGCAATTCATTCACGAGTCATTGACAACAATACTGTTTAATTAACATTCCTGCATGAATCGACCGCAGACGCAGTTAGGGAAAACCTACACACCGCTACTCTGGGTCCGCGGTATGTCTGCGTAGAGGCCGCTGTTCCTGACACGCATCGTTGCTGTCTGCTGATCAGGTTCTCGCCATACTCTAGCGGTGTAGCGTCACCGTCGCCCAGCTTCGTACTCTCTGCGCGTGTCCGCAATGCTCGCATGCTCGTAGGCGGAAGCGGACAGTGAATGACTGCCAGAAAACTTTATTTACTTAGAAATACTGTAATATATATATTATATATTATATATTATATATATATATAATATATAATATATTATATGTATATTATTTTATATATGTATATGATGTAAATACGATATACGTAACAGGTATAATACGATAATAGTATTAGTATGACACTACACACACACACGCACACACGACGCACGACGACACACACGCATTGCACGCACGCACGCACAGACAATCACAAACACACACACACACGCACACACACATACCAACATATACACCACGCACGCCACACACAGCACGACTTACTCACGTGGCACGGCTGTAAGCGAGCCCCACATGTCCCCCCGCCCGCATCTGTATACTGCGCTCGTTCTTGGTGTCGTCGCTGGCACTGTGATATCCACAACTCTGGATACACTTCGCGTACGTCCAGCTCGTCTTCAGTACACAGGTCCTGCATGTCGACGCATGAACACGCACCTGCTGGTTGTCGACGCATGCGCAAGTCTCAGTACCATCAACGCAGCTGGTAGAGGTGGCACGCGTATACCTGAGAGAGAGAGAGAAAGAGGAGAGAGAGAGAGTGGGAGAGAGAGAGAGTGGGGATGCAGAGAGAGAGAGATGAGAGAGACGAATTTGAGAGAGAGAAGACGAGAGAGGAGTGGGAGGAGAAAGAGTGGGAGAGAAAGACGTGAAGGGAGACGAGAAACGAGAGGGAGAGAGAGAGAGAGTGAAGAAAGAGTGTGGGTGAGAAGAGAGAGAGAGAGGGAGGCCAGAGAGAGAAAGAGAGATGACAGAGAGACAGAGAGAAAGAGAGAGAAGAGAGAGGGAAGGCAGAGCAGAGAAGATGAGAGAACGAGCAGAGAGACAGAGATGAGAGAGCAGAGAGAGAAGAGGAGAAGAGAGAGAGAGAATATGAGAGAGAGACGAGAGAGGAGAGAGAGAGAGATGAGACCGCCCCAGAGCGATGTAGAGAGCAGCAGAGAGAGAACAGAGAAAGAGAAAGAGAGTAAGCTGGAGAGCGAGAAGAAAAAGAGAAAGACAAAGAATTGAGTGAGAAAATTGAGACACGTGACGCGAGATGGAGTGAGAGTGAGAGAGATGAGTGAGTGCGAGAGGAGTGAGTGAGTGCGAGATGAGTGGATGAGTGAGGTGATGAGTGAGAGAGCGAGTTGTAAGAGAGAGATGTCACACAGAGAGACAGAAAGGGCAGAAGAGCAGCTCTGCTCATCCTCCTTAACCCTGTTATCAATTATACTTACGTTCGCAGTCTGTGCACTGCGGTCCAAATTAACAGTTTCGTATGTCCGATGTGCACTTGCACCAACTTTTCACTTGCGCTTGTTCTGGCTTTCGTAGTCCGCGTGTATGCACTTGTATGTGTACGCGATTATTATAATTGTTCTCGGAGGATGTTGTCTCGACGTTAGCGACACTGGCCTGTGATTCTGAAAGACACTGCCGAACTGAATTGCAATGACACAAATTCCCGCTATTAGCGGCCAGCGGAGCAGTACAGGAGCGATGCAAGATGGCCAGCTTGACTTAACTTCACTTGACAAAGTGACGTTAACCAGAGTATATGTGCAGCGCACCTCTACCGCTTTTGATTTTACGGAAACGACAATTCGCGGAGCTAAAGTATATAAGACAGTGTAAGATTAAAAATGTGTAGTTTGGTCGGTGGTGGATAGCTGCGTGTGGTGTGGTGGGGCGATTCTATTGAGCGTTAGTGTTAATAATGACGACCCGGGCTACACTGTTTATCATAAGTAGCTCCCGCCAACGTTGTGTTACCAAAAAGCGTCACTAAAAACACTTTACACAGCTGCCATCAATATTTTACTGACAGTACCTCAGTGATGTACTAAAATTATTGAACCGCATGTTTGTTAAAACACCGGGTACGAATGTGCGCGAAGCGCGTTTGTTAAGAGTGAATAACTTTCGTTGCAAGCTCCTTACTTATTTCACACCTCTCTCCCTCGTATCCGGTTCCGATGCAGTCACAAGGTAGTTGAGTTGATCGGTGTTACGAGGGTAAGGGAACACACGTCCGTGCCTTGCACGGGAATGCCTAGCAATGGGGTACTTCGCTACATTATTGACCTGTGTCGCGGAGAAATTCTTTCATTAAGCTTTAGCCATCCTATGTTCAGTGTAATAGTAGTAGTTAATAATGTGTATAGATGTTTTGTTCTTATTTATATTGTGATTGTATTATTCTATACCTATCGTACTTATGCTATTTACTTGCATAATTCTCATTACTTGGCCGAAAAATATACATCTCGGAGCGTTATAAGTGTGTTGTGTGGGTGTGTTTCTACCTTGATGTACAGTTAACCACAATTCCCAACAAAATGTTGCAATAGCTAAATGATGCTGTTACTACACGCAGGAATTTCTGAATGTATTATTCTCAGTTAAATAATTGTTAATGGATGTGGAGTACGACCGCACACCACATCACACACACACCACACACACACACACGACACACCACACTAACACACACGCCACGCAATCGCACACGCACACGCACACGCACACGCCACACGCGACACGCACCGCCACGCACACGCACACGCACCACGCACAGCACAACGCACACGCACACACACTTACACACACATCACATATATAATATATATTACATTTTTACTAAGTGATTTCTCGCACATTCATGCCATACGAATCTTATCTTTCCAGATATCTATCAGTTCGTTGCCTCTGTGCGTCTATGCCTTTTTTTGGACTAAAGTCGCAGTGCTTCCCGCATGCCTTATAAATCAGGGGGTGTTCGTCGACCCACGCAAAGATTCTTATCTTATCTGCTGCTTATCCGATCCAAAATGCACTTCTCAATTTCATTCTGTAACGACGTGTAATATATGAATGAACTAAATGCCATGAATAAATAAATAAATAAATAAATGAATACATTATCATACACACAAAGCCGCGTAATTAGTAATAATATAGTACTATATGTCGAATATTCACACACATCACAACACACACACCACACGACACCACACACACACACAACACACATCACACACCACGCAGACGCACGGCACGCACGCACACGCACGCACACGCACGCACATCACACACCACAACCACGCACGCACGCACTCACGCCACGCACGCCGCACGCACGCTACGCCACGCATCGCACATACACGCACTCAAGCACGCACTGCGCGCGCGCACGCAACACGCGTCATAACGGTTAAGAATAACTTGATTTAACTCATAGTATAACGTGTAGAAAAACACACACACACACACACAAACAATACCACTCACACCACACACACACATCCACACACACACACACACACACACACACACACACACACACACAATGCACACACACGCATGCACGCACGGCATCGCACGCACGCACACACCACACACACAGACACGCACACACACACACTACTGTGAATATTAGTTGGAATACGAACACGATGTCCACGATAAAGAGATGATCCGCCTCTGACGGGTACGTCGCGAAGTTTGAAGGGCCAAACTTCGTATTGCAATGTTCAGTACATTGACCCCAGCGCCTCGGCGAGTTGTCGTAGCGGTAAAACACCGGCGTCGCCACACCCGCTCCGTCAAAGTACTTCCAGTTCACGCATTCACCTGAAAGAAAAGCGAGAGCCCGCGTTTTTTACGGTTACTATTACGCGTTGTATTATTACTATTACGTATAATTGCTAGTACGTAATAATAGTACGTACTATTGCTATTACTACTACGCCTGAAGACACGCGTCGCCATGGACAGCCGACGTTGCTAAGGCGGTCGCGTCTGTTTGGGGGTCGTGTCTACGGAATGTAGATGATCTATCTCTGCTTCATGTGGGTCCGATGAGATCCTCACTCGGATGCTACTGTTGCACTGCGTTACGTCTTGCTGTGTTAGTAATATGAACTGCGAGAGAGAGATAGAGGGGAGAGGAAACAAGGAGAGAGAGAGAGAAGTAGAGAGAGAGAAGAGAGGTAGGAAGAGAGAGAGAGGAGGAGACGAGAAGAGAGAGAGGACGAGAGAGACAGAGGAGAGAGAAGAGGAAGAGAGGGAGGGAGGGATGAGGAATAGAGAGAGGGAGAGGGGATATGAAAGAGAAAAAAAAAGAGAGAGAGGGAGTAGAGGGACTAGAGAGAGAATCAAGAGAGAGCAGAAAAAGCGAAAAGAACGTATAATAAGAGCGAACGGGCGTGATATGAGCAGAGAAGAAGAAGGAGAGAGAAGACAGACAAAGAGGAGAGAGAGAGACGATCTGAGAGCAGAGAGAGAGAGAGAGAGAAGAAGAGGAGAGGACAGACAGACAAAGAGAGAGGACAGACAGACAAATGTCCTGGTGGGTAATTGTTCTGGTGGGTAATTGTCCTGGTGGGTAATGTTCCTGGTGGGTAATTGTCCTGGTGGGTAATTGTCCTGGTGGGTGATCGTCCTGGTGGGTAATCGTCCGGGTGGGTAATTGTCCTGGTGGGTAATTGTCCGGGGGGTAATTGTCCGGTGGGTAATTGTCCAGTGGGTAGTTGTCCGGATACGGATAGACACGTGTATTATAGATAGGTATTTTTAAAGCAATTACTGACTCTAAATACATCCAAGGAGATGAATATAATTATAGTTGTAATCATATTCCCAACGCAGGCAAATCCTTTCCTGGTCGGATTAAATAGATTAAATATTACGTTTCTGTTTTAGAAGAATGTTGCAACAAAAAAAGTTAAATCACGTATAAATATTTATTACTCGGTGTGTAATTTGCTGTTCAGTTTTTCGGTAATATATAGCGAGTTCATTGATTAGCCAAGTATCAAAATACGCCGCACAGATCAAGATCCATGAAGCTATTCATTATTTTGATGTGGTTTTACTAGGAGCACCTGACGCCAGTATTCAACTCTGTACTTTTTGCTCTGATATCGTTTCCTACATACATACAGTGACATTACATACATGTACGAACGCATGTACGCACTCACACACGCAAGCACGCACACACGAACGCACGCACACACGAACGCACGCACACACGTAAGTACGCATCGACGTACGCATGGACGTTGGTACACGTACGCATAACCGCAGGTATGCACGCATGTACGCGCGCACACACGCACGTACGCGCGCATGCACGTACTCACGCATGCACGTACGCACGTACGCACACACGCACGTACGTACACACGTACGCACGCACGTACGCACGCACATACACACGCACGTACGCGCGCACGCACGCACGCATACACGCACGCACGCATACACGCACGCATACACGCACGTACACACGTACGTATGCACGCGCATGATCGCACGCCCACACGCAAACACAAACGGTACACGCAATCCGTACGCGCATATTACTAACAAAGAGACGACGTTTAAAAAAAAGGACCCGTCTATTCTATCAATTTTTTTTCTAAAACTAAACTATGCATAAGCGCCATGCACGCGGCCTTGTGTTTATTCGCTAGGCCAGCGTTTTCTTAAGCCTAGGACACACTGCGCGATTTTCTACGCTGGCCGCTTCCGATCGATAAATACGGTACCGGGTCCGCGCGGTGTGTCCGGTCTCACGGCAGCGTAGTTGAATATTTCCGCCCGGTTTTTCGACCCGGCACCGTATTTATCGATCGGCGGATCGCAAGTGGCCAGCGTAGAAAATCGCACACGCTCTTGATAATAATTATACGCTCTCCTATGACACTATTTGTCATAGGAAGATTCTTCATATGACAAATATTGGCGAGTCAACTTCGTTCCGCTTTACAGCTGAAATTCACTGCTTGCGTTCATAATAGCGCTCCTAAACTCCTATGATGCGCACAACACATGCAACAATATTTGTCATAGGAAGAATCTTCCTATGACAAATAGTGTCATAGGAAAGCGTATAATTATGCGCATGTCGTATTTGTCATAGATGCTAGCAAAACAGGCTGGATTGTCACATGAAACGCCACTCAGAGATATTTATTTGAGCGCTGTCGCGATCTCTTCCCTCCTATACCTACGCGCACAGGCACTTGGAACGTCTCAATAAAAAAAGGTAAATAAACACGAAATGTATTTACTACCAAAGTCTTAATGTTTCTCTACTCTATTTCGCCTATAATCACCTGTAAATGCCGGTCAAATGCTCATCTGCAACACACAAGTACACCGCACGCTAGCTGCTGCACACAGACACATAAATATATTATAGTCATGAATATATATTTATGTGTCAGTGTGCAGCAGCTAGCGTGTTGCAGATGAGCATTTGGACGGCATTTACAGCAAATTGACGCCAATAATAGGTGAAAGCGAGTAGAGAAACATTAAGACTTTGGTAGTAAATAGATTTCGTATTTATTTAGCATTATATTTTATTGAAACGCTCCAAGTGCCTGTACCTACGCCCACCATCTATCCTGTCCCTTTCCTCCGCTCCTCCTACCTGCTCTTCTAGCTTCACCTCTCGTTTACCCACATTACCATTCACCAAGTTTCCTTCATCTTTCTATACCACCAACCTTCTCACCTACTTCGCCTATACCCGTTACCTACCTTCACTGACTTCATCCCTGTCATTTTCCTTATCACCCATAACTTCCCAGTTTCTACCCCTTCATTTCACTTCTACTTTTGCCCTAGCTTTCATACCGAGCAGTTTCTTTTATATATTGCTTGCGCATGAATGCATGGTGCTTTTAAAGTGGCATTTTTTAACTGGATGACTCTTAATTAGAACAGTAGAGAAAGCCAGACACCTACTTATAATTATAATAGTCTTGATATGAATGAATATGAATAATAATGAATAAGATTGACATTTTACGCAAGAAGCCCGTATTACAGTTTCATACCACAGTATCCGATGAAACAAATAGTATCTGGCAAAATTATTTATATACATATAAGGGGCAAACGCTTCACACGTTGTCAAGTGCGGCAGTACATACACGTACACCAACATGTGAACCACGTTTCATTTGAGGTCATAACGGCCCCAATCACCACTAAGAGAACAAATTGCCGCAATGTACGCGTATGTGTGTGTGCGCGCGTGTGTGCAATCTGTCGACATAGTCGTCTACGTCACTTCATAATTAAATACCCGTCCAATCGTTCGCTATTCACCCATTCAACTAAAGTACCCAAATACAACAAGACGAGTCAAATTCACTGTTGTTTTTACATTTATTCAGTTCAATAAATGAAATATAACTTAGGTATATACGAATAAAATTGTAAAAGCACAACTATATGACTATATATATTAATTCAACAGTGCGGGCGCCCCGACTTCACAAGGGTCTACGCGTGATATGTTACCCATATTGTTCAAGATATCTACCATTAACGTCGAATACCGGTACGCTGTTTTTTTGTCTCTCACAAAAGGCATCATCATGATTAATGTGCGCCGCCAGATGGCTCCGCGTGCGTATCGCTTACGCATTGCTGCATTAACCACCAACGTTGGACATTGTGTCGGATCGGAGAGAAGGAGGAGGAGGAGGAGGAGGAGGAGGAGGAGGGATGGGTGATGCTGCCGTGTGCGTTGTTGGTACTACATGCAGAGGAGACACGCGGCGCGCGACATCGCGGCCGCCGCAGAATCTGTTTCACTTCATGAAGCGAATTGTGATTAATTGCCGACGAGGCGAAGCACGTCACCGGGCGAACAAGCTGTTCGCGATTACGCCTGCTTCACTCTCGCCACCAACGACGAACCGCCCGCGAAACAATATGTCGCACAGACACACACACGCGCGCGCACGTACGAACAAACAAACAAACAAGCACGCACGCACGCACGCACGCGCGCACACATCATCCGCGTAATATGTCACGTGACACCCGAGCATAAGAAACGCTTACGGGAGGGAGAAAGAGTGGCGGAGAGAGCCAGAGAGGGGGAGAGAGAGAGAGAGAGAGAGCGCGAGATGACGGGTGGCAGGCCCGCCGTGGTAGAAGGCCCACACAGTCGCCACAGACCACCGCCCAAGAACAGCGCGTGTATATGATACCAGCATCGTACGGACGTAACTGACACAAATTGAATCGACATTGAATCACTTTTTAATGAAGACAAAGGTGACGGCGCGAAGTTGCCGTCGCCAGTGTGCGCTAAACCGTCTCAAGAATGTTAAGCGCAAGCACGTGCCCCTGCCTGCACGTCGCTTTAAGACTAATAACGCCACGACACAGCGGGGTGGCGGCGGCAACGGAGCGAGAGAAAGAGAGAGAGAGAGAGAGAGAGAGAGAGAGAAAGGGGGAGAGGCGAGAGGCGGAGAGGAGCGCACCTAGTCGAAAGCAAAATTCGACAATTTCTTTCTTCCTGTGTATCGTACGCGCTGTGCATGCGCAAGAAAACACGCGAATTCACCTAAAATCAATATGTAGTAGGACCCGACTATTCAAACACATCTCAAAATATAAACTAACATATCTAACGCACTAGTCAATGATTATCGGTCGCCAACGATTACCGGGCGCGAAATACGCCCTATCCGCCGAGAAATACCGGGTCACGCCTCTCTGTAATTGGACGCCATGTTTGCGTCAGGTATGCCGGTCATACAGGACAGGTCTGAGCAAACATGGCGGGAACAACCGATGACCTGACGTCATTAAATAGGCGACAAAACGCATTAAGAATTACTTGAAAACGTCGATAGAGGCTACGGCGATAGTCCGTACCTGCCATAAATCGACCGCGAATCAACGTGAAGGGTCCGTGGGTCGGGCGGGTGTAGAGTGAGGGTGGGGTTACGCTAATTAACGTCTACGGAGGGAACAACAGTCGTATCCAGGCAGCTTTGTATATACAATCATACACAGTGCTTCACAGTAGCGTTGAGCCATAATTCAATTACATTATTCATGATCAAAGGACAATACTTTAGATTGTTGCGTACGCGCGCCCGCGGACACGCAAACTCGCACTCTCCACGTAAATGCTGCAAAACATGCTGCCGTAGGAGAAAACGCCGAGCCAACGAGATCGCCAGCTGCTAATGCGCTCTCGCATCGCCAGCGATTCTCGCTCTCTCCATCAGCCACCGTCCTGCCACGCCACCTATAGAATCCATCTCGTAGCGGAAATTCCGCACGCAATAGCGACAAAAATTCTCAAAAGCCAAACAACGCGAACGCAACGCCACCTGTAGGCGCTTTTGAAGCGCGACGAAAAAATAGGCGCCGATCGAAAACAGCGCAAACGTGTGACCTTCCAACACGTGCCAATCGTCAAGCGGTGCCGACGCGCCTACAGGACAGCGCGTGACGTCCGCCGCCGTGCCGACACGCGTCGCGGCGCGCTGACACCGCAGTCGAATGCCTCCCGAATTGGGAGTAAATTCGCATGGGAATAAATAAGGAATACTCGGCGGCGTTCGGAAATCCCGGCAATCATGACACTCGTGGCCAGCGCACGCAAACTGCATTCCGACACAACGAACAACAGTCTACCCATGACAGATACCAATGATGAAGATGCGAAGCAAAACCAAAGCATGTAAGGCAGGAGATATATATATATATGAGAGAGAGAGAGAGAGAGAGAGAGAGAGAGAGAGAGAGAGAGAGAGAGAGAGAGAGAGAGAGAGAGAGAAAGCGAGAGAGAGAGAGAGAGAGAGAGAGAGAGAGAGAGAGAGAGAGAGAGAGAGAGAGAGAGAGAGAGAGAGAGAGAGAGAGAGCAAATGTATGCAATATGACATTACCTACCAAACGTCAGAACAACCTCTCTTCGACATTTGCTGACATTATGCGGATGTGAGAACGAGAGCCACCAAATTCACGTGAATCCTGTGATTATGATTTTATATTTCCGACTTAAGTTCAACTCAACATAACTTCTTGATGGCCTACAGTCGCAAAGGAGCCGGGGAAACAGGACAGACGTCCCCGAATGGTGAACCACCAACACACCAATGCCAGCGACTAGGCCTTACAACTTACAGCTAGGCCTTGTCCGGCACAACGACCTTACCGTGCGGACTAGCAACGTAGTTTAGCGCACCAAAAATTCATCATTGATCGTCAAAACGCAAAATGCAACTCGGCCGAGAAACAAGCAATACTGCTACTGCAACCATCCCGTACATAGCTGCCACCTCGTCTCCGACTATCGGCATTCAAAAAACAAAAGACGCCCACTACCGGCGTCGCCACAGCATTCCGTGTGCGTGTCGATTTCTCACAAGAATCCGCTGCCGCGCATGCGCGGGGACTCGTATACATATTAAACACGTCTCCCGTGAGAACACTTAGATACTATAACAAGCAAATACGGTCGAATATTATTCAAAAAATGCAATTACAGTCTTATATACAGAACATAAAACCGTAACTGTCCGCTACACGGTCACCAAAACAAAACGAAGAGCACACACGCAATCACACAGTGTTCTTAATACTCTTAGAGATATAAAGATTCAAAATATGCACACTGACTATAACAGGCTAAATTCTGGCACACCCTGTGCTGCCGTGAGTCGGGCGACAGGCGACACCGTCAGTGACCCCAGCGTCCATGACCTCACTCATTCTGGCAGGCTTTCTACAAAGAACTCACTCGGCTAAAAGCTGCTCCGACGCGTCGTAATATGATAAAAACCGTACGATTCAAAGTTACAATGAAATCTTAGGATAGGTAACGCCGCCCGGCGGGATGGGGGAGAGGTGGGGGTGACGGAAGGGAAGGGTACGCCTACACACGGCTTCATAAATTACAGACGAAAATCGAGAGATAGACGCGTGCACTGCACCGCCACCTGGTGTACGCGGCCGCAACCCTCGCCGCACAGAATGCAAGTGCCGAGCGCAGGTACAGCAACCCGCAGAAGAACAGATCGTGGCGCCACCTGGCGCCAGAAACGTCGGCACGCAGGCGCGGGAAACCGCGAGAGGCAGCGCAGCTCTGCGGCCGCCGGTCGGTCATCGCCAGGAGGCGCTCACGGCACCGCGGGCGTCGCAGGCCACCACCATCGCCCCACCCCACGTCCGACAACCGTCGCAATAGCAGTTACGCGGCAGACGGGGGTCGGGCGAGTCACCGCCGCCGCCGCCGCCGCCGCACGGTACCGTCGAACGTTGGAAGTACTCTTATGATCACTGGAAGTGTGTGCCGGCGACGGACGCGCCGCGCGGCATGGCAGTGACGCGGGTCGTCCTCGCGCAGTAGCGGACAGCGCCTACCGATTCAGTGTGAGCTGAGGGGCGGCGGTGGCGCCCCCTGCTGAAGTGCGTGCTCGGGATTCCTCCGCCGCTCCTCTGCTCACACCGCGCCGCCGAACATGCCAATAAATACAATAAATACTACATAGGAACCAGTAAATTACACATAATCTTACAGTACAACGATGAGAATAAATTTTCAAATGATACCCGAGATGGACTGACACCGGCACGCTTGCTTTTACTAGAGCCCAACGAGCTCCGACTAATACTGCTCACTTAGCAATCGTGTCGGTCGCAGTCTATTGCGAATGTAAAGATATTTCACTGTTTAATATTTCTTAACTAGACTTGTGAAAATGCATGCTATATATAGTATGAAACGACAAGCGAGTCGTGCTACTCAAAACTTGAGCAAAATATAGCAAGAGCACAGCACTCAAAATAACCAATAACCAGAAGCACATTTTCACATTCATTTGCTCGTATCTCAGGGTGCCTTTTAAACGCAGCAGGCTTTGCCAGGTACGGATACCGCTACCGCTACCGCTACCGGTACATCCTCAACACCTAAAGATAGTGAAAATGGAGTCTCTTCGTCAGGTAAGGTTTACCACGTGACACCGCGTGTTGGGGGAACAGGAATTGCTGTCATGCACATCCAGCTGCCGCTGCTGCTGCTTTTACTGCTACTGCTACGGCTGCTGGCTCCTGCTGCAAATAATGGCACCTAACAATGTGCTTGTGTCACATCCAATTACGACATGCAGTAATTTACAAGCCTCCATTTGAAACTAAAAATGCAACTACGTATACACATCACGAGTTCATCCATATTATACATGTAGCGAGTTGATCACCTTTGAGATAAAAAGCCTTTGCGTGCAAGGGATAATAAACAGACAGCCACCCTGTGCCAGCTCTCAGTTGCATAGGCGCACCCTCTAGTGGCCAAAAACAAGCGAAGAAATACCTCGGATTTTTATATTGCACAATATGACTTACATCAACACAACTAAAACACGCGCGAGTTGAATAAATACTACGAGCATACGATAAATACATTAAAAACCTTTCTGCTTTTATAAATAGACTCTTCTATGAAAGAAAATGGCCCAGGTTGTGTAAGCGCACTAAAATCATCAAATGGATAAATAAACACGGAGATCAAGCTAGGGAGAGCTTGCGCCGTAGATCACGAAACGTGACCGACGCAAATCGTTGCGGCGAGCAAAAGTGCGCGAGCATAGAGGGCGCTAGGATGCAGATATATATAGCGCAGTGGTGCCACGCTTGCCCGGAGGATTGGAGGACACCCACTCGACGCGATCATGGCATCGTATAAGCAGACGCGAACAATGTCGAAACGACAGCAGGACAAGTCTCCATGCAAACGTCGTCACCAGGGGGAGGCATGCGGCCACATCTCGCCCCGGATACCGGCGTTTGAGAGCAGCACACCGGAGCCACAGCGACCCAAGACGACTAGAAGCACGAAAGACAGCTGTCCTGTACAGCAGCTCTAGGAACCAGAGACACCTGGTGTGCGCTACAACCATGGGGACCAGAGACACCTGGTGTGCGCTACAACCATAGGGACCAGAGACACCTGGTGTGTTTTGTAGCCACACTATCTGTTCCCATGCCACTTCACAGTGGGTTGAACTCTGAGCCTACGAACACACTGCAGTGACACGCCTGCTCTCACGACAACTACTCCTGCTGCCACCACCTGCTACAACTATTGGCAGAGGTGAGCGCCGGCATGACACAAGCACCAGCGAGGCCATTACTGACTGACACAGCCGAGCAGAGTGTGCTCCTGCATAGTGCACAGCCGAGCGCGTGCGCTCCTGTGTCACTCGGAGATGACGCTAGCTCAGTTGCTGCAGCATGGCGTCTCGCTGGCCCTCCACTCCAGGCGCGGGCACGCCGCGGTAACGCAGTCTGCCGTGACACGCGCTCGCCATTCAAATCGCGGGAGGTAACGATCTCCAAACACACCCGCCCTGCTTCCTCGCCGGGAACTCGCGAGACGCCGCACGCACGAAGCACGCTGCGCGCCTCGGCTGCGACCTTTCGCGACCGAGCGAGCGGGCGTCGAGACGTTCCGTCTCGCGAACTCCGGTCTCCTCGGAGACCCCCTTCCCGCGGGACGCAGGAGCGGCGTCCGGTCCACGCGGGCCTCTGCTCATTTACAGTAAACAATGCGCCTGCGCATGGCGTTCGCGGAAACGTTAATACAAAAACCCCGCGTGTACGCACGCTCGGTGGGCGACAAAAACACGTAACGTTTAAAGGTGAGACTTGGTTGCGCTGCGTCGGTCTGCGACGACGCCCTGTCGGGTGCCTGAGCGGTGCAAAACTGCTCGCGGCGCCCTCTACGGCGCGCAGGAGGAGGGGGTCACGTGGGCCGCTGCGGGGGGGAAAGAGTAGAACTACTTCGGGCCCCAGCACGGAGGCGGTTTCCTGAGCGATGAAAGTGTACGTTCTGCCACTTGCCATTCCTTGCCGCGTTCCAGAGCGCTGTGTTTCCTCAGACTGCTGCGTGATCGGTACGCGTTCCTGCAAGTACGAGCAGAAAGCCATGATTTTAACCACGCAGCACCGTGTGCCTACCACCATCTCCCACTCTATCGGCCTAAAATTCTGTTCGCACTCCTTACCTATACGCTGACGGTGGCACTGCACCACAACCAACAACTTAACTCCATTATCTAACTATCACTGGACAGAAATATATTTCATAGGTCAACTATGATGGCAGGATATTTCAAATTTCCAAATTAGATATGATGCTTACTGTGAAAGATTTTAATTTGCATACATCAGCATGTGTTCATTGTGAGAAAATATGAGAACTGTTCGTACGATGTGGATGAGGAGAGTGGATGCGACGTGAATTAGATAGGATTGGAAGTGCAAGTGCAAACGCAACACAGAATTAGGGAGGAAACGTGTTTAGGCTCATGTACGCGGAGGGAAGACAGGTGGTAAGCAGGAACGTGCTATGGCATGTACGGGAGGGACCACAAGGAACGGTAGCAGGAACGTGTAGGGATGTACGGGAAGGGCAAGGGCCACATGGTTCAGCAGAACGTGTAGGATGTACGGAGGCGAAGCACACGGTAGCATCGAAACGTGTTCAAGGCATGGTACGGGATGGGTAAGGCATCAGGTAGCAGGAACGATGTAGGGAGTAGGGAGGAAGCTAACAGGTAGCAGGAACGTGTTAGGGATGACGGAGGGAAGCACAGGTAGCAGGAAGCGTGTAGGGATGTGCGAAGGTGGATGAAGCCACAGGTAGCAGAAACGTGTAGGGATGCTACTGGGAGGGAAGCACGGGTAGCAGGATACGTGTATGGATGTACGGTTGAGGAAGCACAGGTTAGCAGGAACGCTTGTAGGGAATGTACGGAGGCGAAGCACAGGTAGCAGGAACGTGTAGGGATGTACGGGATGGGAAGCACAGTAGCAGGAACGTGTAGGGTATGTACGGAAGAGGAAGACACAGTGCAGGAACCGTGTAGGGATGTACGGGAGGCATGCCTAGCAGGTAGCAGGACACGTGTAGGGATGTACGGGAGCAGCAAGCACAAGGTAGCAGGAACGTGTAGGCATGATACGGAGAGGATGAAGACAGGTAGCCAGGAACTGTAGGGTATGTACGGGAGGGAAGCACAGGTAGGGCAGGAACGTGTAGCGGATGTAGGAGAGGGAGCACCAGTAGCAGGAACGTGTAGGGATGTACGGCGGGAAGCACAGGTTAGGCAGGAACGTGTAGGGATGTAGCGGGAGCAGAGCACAGGTAGCAGGAACGTGTAGGGATGTATCGAGATGGGAAAGCGACAGGTAGGCAGGAACATGTAGGCGATGTACGGATGGGAAAGCAGCGGTAGCAGGAACGTGTAGGGTATGTACGGCGAGGGAAGCACAGTGTAGGCAGGAACGTGTAGGATTTTGTACGGAGGCAAGCACAGGTAGCAAGGAAGCGTGCAGGGGATTGTACGGGGGCTAAGCACAGAGGACGGGAACGTGTAGGGATGTACGGAGGGAAGCACAGGTAGTTGCAGGAACGTGTAGGGATGTACGGGAGGAAGACAGTAACAGGAACGTGTAGGCATGTACGGGAGGGAAGCACAGGTAGCAGGAACGTGTAGGGATGTACGGGAGGGAAGCACAGGTAGCAGGAACGTGTAGGCATGTACGGGAGGAAAGCACGGGTAGCAGGAACGTGTACGGATGTACGGGAGGGAAGCACAGGTAGCAGGAACGTGTAGGGATGTACGGGAGGCAAGCACAGGTAGCAGGAACGTGTAGGGATGTACGGGAGGGAAGCACAGGTAGCAGGAACGTGTAGGGATGTACGGGAGGGAAGCACAGGTAGCAGGAACGTGTAGGGATGTACGGGAGGCAAGCACAGGTAGCAGGAACGTGTAGGGATGTACGAGAGGGAAGGACAGGTAGCAGGAACGTATGATAGGCAAGCCCAGGTAGGAGAAAAGCGCAGGTGTACTCACTTGTCGACGAACTGCGTGAGTCTGATGTAGGCGACGCAGGCAGCATCGTCACCGAGCAGATGCACGTGAGGATTCAGCAACGTCGTGTTCATCGCCTTGCTGTTCTTACCTAGAACTGCAACAGCACACAATGTGACAAAGTCACGACGTAACAACAAGGCAATGTCACAAACATTTGTCATGTGAGGGCGCCTAGGTATTATAATAGGAATACAGAATGAGGTGACACTAGGTGACAAACGAGAAGTGGCGTGACAATGTGATTCTCACACACATACGTGACATAGGATGGTGCCAGGGAAATGACAAAGAAGCTGTAGTGTAACAATATCGACCAATGTCACACACACATGACACGGGAGGGTGCCAGAGAAAAATGACAAACAGAACAGGAATGTTATCGTCACACACACACACACGTGACACAGGAAGATGACAAATGAGCAGTAACAGACTCAATATCATCGTTACACACACGTGGCAGATGAGGGCACCTGGGAAATGGTAAACGAGGAGTAGCATCACAACATCGTAATCACGCACGTACGTTCTCAGGAGAGTAGCTAATGCCACGTCTCGGTTGTGTTCTGGGAGGTGGGCACTATATAACAGCCACCAGTACATATTACAGCTCCAGTTTATCACAGCAGTCTCGAATATTAATCGATCCGTGCATCATCCGAAAATAATTGAATCCGAGATCATAAATGATAGCCAAAGCATGTGAACATTGTGCCTACTACAGCCAGCCCAACATAGACTGCTTAATCAAGCTTGTTTCCAGTACCTTCCACTGAAAGCCTTGTAATATCTATTAGCATTGCTGCTCACGCTTCACCAGCCTAACTTCACAAATATTTAAAACGGATAAACCTCGGAACGAAAAGCCTATATAGACCTACTGTGAGCACACTTGCAGTGTGCAAACATCACGAAATGTTCTCATTGAGCCAGAGAAGTGGTACAAACATTGGGATTTTCAAAATTACGTCTATGTTGTTATGTCGCAGCTAGCAGTAAGCCCTCCGCTAGCGCAAACAGTTCCTGGAACGAAAACACTATAATATTTGTTTCCTGATTTCATAAGTAATATAGATAATGATATGATTTCAACAAATTTCAAAATTTTATAGTGAATAAACATATAATAATGAATTATAACTTGTTTTATCACAGAAAGAACTGTTAACGATCGCTCCGCTGTGTCACGGAAGTGTAAACATCACCGTGGTGCTACTTTCGTAAGAGAAGTAATTTCGTTTCGATTTTGAGAAGAAATGTTATGAAAGTAGCAATACAAATGAGTTCTAGCAAATTTTTGCAACATAGACGAGCTCACAGTACGTCTATATATGCATTTAGCTGCGACGTTAAGCAACTTTAACGATAGAAATGTGTTTACTTGGCATTCTATTCCATTATTTGTGATCTTTAAAACAAGTCTATGATCACTAACCATATCTTTATTGTAATCCTATCCATAGATAGATTATATATAGAAATATATAAAATTATTATAGAATTATGAATTCTGATAGTATAAAAAAATCTCCTAAAAGCTTATCTATTGCTGTTTTGTTCACTTATCACACTACAGAAATTTCACATTTCCACTTGTTACTCTCAGCGTAATAGGTACCGGTGGTTGTTATATGGCGCCCACCGCTCAGAGAAGGTGACTGCCATTGACCATATAATGTATCTACATTTCTCTGGTGGCAACTGCCCCCCCCCCCTGGTTCTGAAATGAACACGGACTTCTGGTGCTAATTGTATAAGCCATAATATGCCACACTGAAACTGGAAAAATGGCAGTAAAATGTAAGAAGGAATACCACTTGCTGCAACGAACAGAACATACTAGGGAACTGATAATTAACAGTGTAAGAATAATCCCCACATACCAGAACAGAACAGAGAGAGAGTGTCTGGACAAACTGTTGCACAGTAAAAAGGAAGTCACACCAGAATGTACACAGAGTTGATATGCATTGAGCAGGGTTAATAAACAGAACCACCAACAGATGGAGCCAGTATCTGCACAGAAACATTAAGGGTGGCATACAACAGCTAGTAGCCTTCCATAAATTGTTCACCTGCACCATTTCCCTTCTGGAGAAGGCACTCTTTTTTGGATTTTTTGCAGTAAACCTCCAAACTAGAGTACCCTAATTTCTATAAATGCACGCAAGGTATATGCTTTGCGGATGTCTACAAGGCATTAGAAGTAAGATTGGTCTTGTCGTGTAATTGTGCCATTCCGTCAAGTGGCGTAGGCATGGTGACCGGTCGGCCATTTTTGTGTTTGAAACGAAATCCGACTACTTTGAAGAAATGTGCTTCATTTAGCTGACAAATGTTTTGCGTAGAGTACAGACCTTAAATCTGTGGTTATTTAGCATGAATAAAGTGTATGTTGTGTATGCGAGGAAACTCTCTGAGTATTTGTAATTAATTTCTGTTCGATACTGATTCAGGCTTGCTGCCTAAGGACGCCATCTACTGCTGTACAACACCTTAAATTGCATTGATACCTTTCACACCTTCTCCTAAAGAAACAAGCAGCACTAAGTAAGATTGCACGAGCTTGCCATATCGTATTGAAGACTAGTAATGGAACCATACCAAAGTCGAAATAGAACTTGTGGAAGTCCATCCCTTCGACTAGGTGACCCAGTGCCTCCGGTTGAAATGAAGTCAAATTGGGGTCACATATTTTTCTGCATAAAAAAAGTCAATATCAGTGCAATGCTCCGGAGAGTTTCTACGGAGTATGCTTAAAGCGATCATTAACACAGGGAATTCCCATGTAAGGCGGCCATATTGCATTCTATGTATAACGGGCATCTTTGTAGTTGTTTTATAACAGGGTGGGTGCCTGCGGGGGGTGATCGCACCATACAAGTCCAGCACACCGACAAAACTTACGTGTAAGCCTCGTAGGCTCCGGTCGCAATGGAATGCAGCAGCTGTTCAGTCATCTTGATGATCTCTTGTTTCCGAGCTGCGACGCAAGCAAACACACCAAGGATTAACCGCAGAAGTCACAAAGTCAATCACAGTGATGCGCGCGACACGAGGGCGATCGAACACGCATCAGCAAATTTAGCGTTTTTGATCACAATTCACAATACACACACCACACGCTCGTGTCGATAACGATGTGCTTGCTGCCCGTAGAAATTTTACACGCAGACCTAATGTAAAACTACTGCAAACAGTTTCCTACAACATAATCACAGAATACGTGCAATTATAATGCCATCTACGCCATTAGATGCGTCACGTTAAGCTCTCAAGTAACTTCTCATGCGAGACTAAACCATTCAAATTTAGACACGTACTTATAAACATAATAATAGATGCACACAACGATTAGCACCAACGCTACGTCGGTCTTCGGATATATCCAACGCCTTTTTCAAATTTGCAAAGCTCTGGTGTTAGCCGAGCTGAGACAAGACAGTGGCAGCAGTTACTAGACTCAGAGCCAGCAATGTGGACACAGTGCATATCAGTGCTCATTCGTCTTTCGAAGTCGGACGTCGCTTAGACTCGGATATATCACTTCCAAGTGCAACTACTAGTTTATCTTTCGGCGTGCTTTCGCGATCCTCCGCGTGAGATGTGGAGATTAAACAAGCTCGCGAGACTATATAGTAAGTCATGCTGGAAGCGAAACAAGGCAAACTACTACTAGCGGAAGCAGGAAAGCATGTACACTAGCTACAGTTGTACAGCAATCAATACGGATTTGGAGCAAAAACCATTCCAAAGTGATTAAAAAACAAACTGTCAAGTAGTTTATCTATATACACGAGTACGTTGTGTGCGCGCGTGCGTGCTCGCCTGTACGCGTGCATGTGCGTAAGTGTATGCGTGCTCTGGATCTAATGTGCGCGCGTGCGTGCATGCGCTTACTAGTATATTCACACGTAGTGTGCGTGCATGCCGTGTGTAGGTGCGTGTATGCATGTGCATATTTGCGTGCGTGCGTGTTTGCCTACATATGTATGCATGTCCGGTGTATGTGTGTGCGCATGGCAAGGCCTCCACGAAAAGTCGTTTGTTTAACGAATTAGTCACACAAAGTCAAGGTGCGCATAAATGCGAAAAACATTACGCTTGCCATTCAGACTCTGAGACATTTTCCTCATTTTACCTACTGTAAAATAAGAAAAACGCCGCAGTGATGCCCTGAGCATCTACGAGACAAGCTGACGTAATCATTTTGCAAACTCGCACACATCGAAACGTGATTCGTTGGTGCCACAATTCGTTGAGTAACAATTTTGTCGCCACTTATGCCGGTGACATAAACAGTGTGAAGGCACACGCGTAGCGTCCACCACCTTCGTCACCATGGATATAATACTTGCCGCGACAGAGACAATGCTCGCCACGGAGATAATATTCTTCGCAGTGAAGACAATGCTCGTTGCCACAGTGACAACGCTTGTCGCTACAAAGACAATGCTCGTTGCCACAGTGACAACACTTGTCGCTACAAAGACAATGCTTGTTGCCACAGTAACAACGCTTGTCGCTACAAAGACAATGCTCGTTGCCACAGTGACAACTGCTTGTCGCTACAAAGACAATGTCGTTTGCCAGCAGAGACAACGCTTTGTCGCTACAAAGACAATGCTCGTTTGCCACAGAGACAACGCTTGTCGCTACACAAGACAATGCTCGTTGCCACAGTGACAACACTTGTCGCTACAAAGACAATGCTCGTGCCACAGTAACAACGCTTGTCGCTACAAAAGACCAATGCTCGTTGCCCAGAGACAACGCTTGTCGTACTACAAAGACAATGCTGGTTGCCACAGAGACAACGCTTGTCGGCTACAAAGACAATGCTCGTTGCCACAGTGACAATGCTTGTACGCTACAGAGATAACATTCTCGTAGTGAAGACAACAATCGTTTGCCACAGTGACAACGCTTGTCGCTACGGAGGTAATATCTTTGCATTGTGTGAAAACAACAATCTTGCCACAGCGACAACGCTTGTCGCTATGGAGATAATATTCTTCTTAGTGGAGACAACAATCTTTGCCACAGTGATAACGCTTGTCGCTACAAAGACAATGCTCGTTGCCACAGTGACAACGCTTGTCGCTACGGAGATAATATTCTTCGTAGTGAAGACAACAATCATTGCCACAGCGACAACGCTTGTCGCTACAGAGATAATATTCTTCGTAGTGAAGACAACAATCATTGTCAGCAGTGATAACGCTTGTCGCTACAAAGACAATGCTCGTTGCCACAGTTTGACAACCAGCTTGTCGCTACGGAGATAACATTCTTCGTAGTGAAGACAATGCTCGTTGCCACAGTGACAATGCTTGTCGCTATAGAGATAATATTCTTCGTAGTGAAGACAACAATCGTTGCCACAGTGACAACGCTTGTTGCTACGGAGATAACATTCTTCGCAGTGAAGACAATGCTCGTTGCCACAGTGACAACGCTTGTCGCTACAGAGATAATATTCTTCGCAGTGAAGACAATGCTCGTTGCCACAGTGACAATGCTTGTCGCTACAGAGATAAATATCTTCATGTAGTGAAAGACAATGCTCGTTGCCACAGCGACAACGCCTTGTCGCTACGGAGATAATTATTCTTCGCTGTGAAGACAACAATCGTATACCAACAGTGACAATGCTTGTTGCTACGGAGATAATACTTCTTAGTGCGAGACAATGCTCGTTCCACATGACACGCTCTCGCTCACAAAAGACAATGCTTGTCACTACAGAAAGACAATGCCTGTTGCTACGCGAAGACAAATTGCTCATCGCAGAAGAGACGATGCAGCGTATGGCAGAGATGCATACACATATTTGAAAGGCAATCTTTGTAGTTTGCTGGCCACAAATTACTAGTTGCGAAGGGTCACGTAGTTGACCCGAGTTTGCTTAGGGCCGGTCGCAGCATGCCCCGGGAAAATATTTTGATTTCTGAGAATGAATTTCGCTGGGCATTCTGGGGCTAAAAAATGACAATAAATTGACTTTTTTTTTTCGATTACAGTGAAATTCGGAGTTTTGAAATACAAACTGGTGCGCAAAAGGGAAATAGAAATTCGTATAAAATACGGTAACAATCGTAAGTGTTTTGGCATCTCTGACGTTGGCCACACGCAACCCGGTGATGATCGAGCGAAAATGGCACAGTCGCCCGACGCATAGGTAATTTCAGCGAGGATCATTTACGCGGGCAGCTGCGCGACGAAGATTTCACGACTTCCAATCTGCCCCCTGGCCCACCGGCAACGCCCCGCATTCGCTGATTAATACCCTCCCCGCAGGCGCAGCGACCTCGCCACTAGAACAATTATCGCGAATAAATAAGCGCCATTGATATGCAATGTTGATCGATCTTAAGAAGTAACTGGCACCTTGTGTAGTAATAAGTACACTTAGCCGCTTATAGCCAAACGGCGTATTAGTTTGGCCAATTATCAGTTCTGGTTACATAAGAAAATGTCTAATTGAAATCGCCGCAGTCCACAAATCAGATTGTTTACAGGTTTCAAACGGCCGCTGCGCGGCGAAAGCGCGTGTGATACAGGATTTATAGTGCAGGCGTGGACAGTTTTCGCACGCAATGCTCCGGCCGAACGCAATGCTATCATCAGTGATGTTCGTAAAACATGGACGCGTCGTGATAAGGAATCTTTTTGTCAGGGCTGTCCCAGTGCGTCCGTGATTCAGTAGCGTGTGTTTACATTATTCCATGTTTAAGTCCGTGCCGATGGTTACAACGAGCAACCGCTGACCACGCTCCGTTTCATCTGGCGTCCAAAACATAAGGGCCGCACAAATGGTTACTTCATCGCTTGACTCCTGGATGCATTTACGGCCACGAAATGATACGTTGATACATAGCAACAACCGATTTCAAGTCTTGTTTGTAATGTAAACCAGCAGTGATATGACAAACTAAATACGCTGTTTGGCACTATAAGGTAAAAT